AAATGCTTCTTTTTCCTTTTGATTAGCAGCTAGATTTCAGATATGGTAAGACTAGGGAAGTAGGAACTACTATCTTTACAACATTCATAAATGTAATCATAAAGAGATATGATAAACTTGCTTTCCTCATTTCTCTTCCACTTGACAAGTCATATCATAGATTCAATTCCTTAATTATTTGATTAAATGTATCCAGACTCATCTGATATTAGTGTACCTCTTATCTATACCTAAAGAATACTCGTCTTGGGGATGGCTGGTTGGCTTAGTTGGTTAGAGCGTGGCCTTGTAACACCATAGTCAAGGGTTTGGATCCCCTTAACAAAGAGCTGCCAAAAAAAAAAAAAAAGCCAAAGCCAAAGAATATTACTCTTAAATGGTTTTTTACTTTCTAAAATAACAAAAACCTAGTACCGGATACACTGTTTATGTAACTTTAGAAAAAACAATTACAGTCACAAATCGGCCAACTCTTAATACTTTACAAGCTTTGTTTCTTTAATCAGTTGGCAAACTTTTATTGAATATTCATCATGTGCCAGGCACTGTTATATGAAAATATTACTGAAGCAGATTATAATTTCCAGAAATCATCCTAATTGCCTGATTATTCCTGGGCAGTTACTGCCATACAAGACTGCCCTGAATATTTGCAGGGAAGAGAGCATAGGGGTAGTTAGATAAAGGGTTAATTTTTTTCCCCTCTATAGCCCACTGTTTTGCCACTTAAAAAAAATGTTTTTTAGGGCCGACCCCATGGCTCACTTGGGAGAGTGCAGCACTGGGAGTGGGCACTGGGAGTGCCGAGGCCGTGGGTTCGGATCCTATACAGGGATGGCCGGTTCACTCACTGTCTGAGCGTGGTGTGAGTGACACCAAACCAAGGGTTACGATCCCCTTACCGGTCACAAAAAAAAAAAAATTTTTTTTAAATTAAAAACATTTTTTTATTTATTGAAACATAATTGATTGTACATATCTACAGGGTACAGCATTGAATATTAATACCTGTGGTGTGCAAATGTGCTGCTCAAATCAGGATAATTAGTATATTCAACATTCTACAATGTAATCATTTTTTGTGGCCCTTTACCAATTTTTCACTAATTCCCATTCTCCTTCCCCCTTTCCCACTTCTGGTGGCCTCAATTCTGTTCTCTCCTTTTGAAAATTCAATGAATTATTGTGATTGTTGTATCTTTCTTTCTTTTTATAGTTATTTATTTTTTTAGCTTCCACTTATGAGTGAGGACTTGAGGTTTTTCTCTTACTGTGCCTTTCGCTTGACGTTTTGCCACTTTTAACACAAGTCAATAAGTGTATTCACACAAATGCTATCTGATGACATATTATAAGGATTCTCTGCAAGTATAATATTAAAAAACCTAAAAAATTTCTACAACCATGTTTGGAACAATAAGTAACATTCATATTTATAAGGAGCTTGGGAAGTTTAATAGCTTTTAAAAAAAATCTACTTTCATTCCCATACCTGCTCAATTCAGTCTGGGTTTCAGCTTCCATCCGTTGATCTGTAAAATCCTTTCTTCTTTTGGCAGGTGTATAATATCGATATTGAGACAGGAAAGATTTCGCTTCTGTTTTTAAAGTGCGTGGAGTGAACGGCAATTGTTTGTTAGAAAAGAGTTCAGAATGTTTATCTAAAAGATCCCCACTGGGTGCTTTTGAAATGACTAACTGAAACTGGTGGGAATTTGGGAATGCGCTCCTGGGCTTTCTGCCATACGTGGTTCTGGAGCACTGTTTCCTGGGCCTAGAAGCTGTGGAATCCATGCTGGACAGGGAGGTAGTGGAGTTGTTCTCAGTACCATTCATGAGGGCTTTGTTGGATTTAGGTAGATTTAGGTGTAATCTCTCTGAAGAAGGTACTAGTGACCTCGCAAGGGATGAAAATCCATTCATTTCTTCTATTAACACATCATTCTGGTCTTGGGGTTCCCCTGAGGGCTGAGAACATTTGATTTGATAGTCATCAACTGCATTGTAAATCCATATAATTGGGGATCTTCAGATTATACATTAAAAAATGGTTCCCCGGAGGTTTACAAAGTTAATTTATATTTTCCAGAAGATGTTACAATTTTATATAAAGTTCTATTCAAGTATTTGAATTAAGATATTAAAATATACTGTAATTCTGGGCCGGCCCGGTGGGACACTGCTACAGTGCGCCGCTTGGGAGCGTGGCGGCGCTCCCGCCGAGGGTTCGGATCCCACATACAGACCGGTTCCCGCTCACTGGCTGAGCGAGGTGCGGGCACAACACCGAGGGTTGCGATCCCGTTGCCGGTCCGGTCTGGTACGGGTGCGACACTGAGGGTTGCGATCCGTTGCCAGACA